TGGTGAGAAGCGCGGCGGCGGGTAGGTCGCGTAGAAGAAGACGAGGGGCGGCTCGGGGAGCTGGCTCAGCCGCCCCAGCGCGAGGAGCAGCGCCTCGGCGCCGATGCGAGTCCTCGTGTCGATGTCCGTGCCGTCGCTCTGCGCGTCCAGCAGCGTCGGCCGCCCGTCGTTCTGCACGTAGTCGACGAGGAGCACGTCGACGCCGCCCTCGACGATCTTCGAGGCCATGTTCACGGCCCAGGCGAGGCCCGTCGCGGCCGCGCACTTGTCGACGACGGCGACGCGACCGCCGTAGCGCCGCTTCATGTACCCGCCGAGCACGAAGGGCCAGCCGTCGTCGTGGCGCACGTTGGCGTGACAGGTCATGGACCCGCCGATGACGACGACGCGCACGGGCGGCGACGCGTGGTCCGGCGCGAGGCGCGCCGCGATGCTGCCCCAGCCCGCGCCGCGCACGACGAGCGTCGCGTCGAGCTCCGCCTGCGTCGCCGGGTACGGAAACCGCGGCTTCGCCGCGCAGTACGCCCTGTCCCCGGCCGCGCACCCGACGACGTCCGCCGGCGACGACGACGCGACGCAGAGCGCCGCGATGAAGAGCCGCAGCAGCCCTCGATCCATACTTTTGTGAACTGCCAAGTGTTATCTTCGTGTTGCCCTTCGCAGCCGACGTTATCCTTGAGGGCATGACGCGGCGGCCGCGGCCAACGACGCAATGCCTCGTGCAAAACCCGTGCTCCTGGTGCTGCTCGCGCTGTTCGCGCGCGGCGGCGACGCGGCGCAGCTGACCACCAATTACAAGCGCGTGGGCAAGCGCGTCGAGTTCGGCGGCTCGTGGCTCATCCGCGAGACCTTCGACGACGGCGTCGACGCGGCGCGCGCCGCGGCCTGGCTGGAGGACCCGCGGCGCGTCCTGGCCGCGGCCTGGCCCGCCGAGCACATCCGCGCATCCGACGGCGGCGGCGGCGACGTCCTCGCGTTCGCGCTCACGCAGGACCCCATCGACTTCGCCGGCTTGGTACACGTCGACTGCGTCGTCGACGTCGACGTCGCGCGCGAGCCGCGCGGCGGCGTGTCGCTCGCGTCGCGGAGCGTCGAGGCCTTCGCGACGCTCCGGGGCAAGCGGCGGCCCGTGCCGATGGACTTCCGGCTCCGCGGCCACCTCGAGGGCCAGCCCGACGCCGGCGGCGCCGCGGCGCTCGTCGGCAGCTTCGAGTACTCCATGTCCGCGGACCTCATCGGTCCCCTCGTGTTCGTGCCGGACCGCGCGCTGCGGCTCGCGGCGGCCGGCGTCAACCGGAAGCTCGCGCTCGGCGACCGCTTCGC